GTTTTAAAGTAATTGTGTGATGCTAAGAAAGATCCTATTGAAATATGGGAAAATGCAGTAGAATACTCACACCTCCATTAACATGCCCGAAAAATGCTTTCTTGCTTTTCAACCACTTATTGTTGTGAATCTACATTCTTCTACCAAACCCAAATCGAGATGCCCTTAAGGTCACAAATGACTAATACCCATCTAGAGGATCAACTGAAACTGTGGACTTCCATGGTGTAACCAAATATTCAAATGCTTTCCAACATAAAAGCAGACACAACAAGGTCATTAAAATTAACAAATAGTTTTCATTTTTTTTTTTTTTTGAGACAGAGTCTTGCTTTGTTGCCCAGGCTAGAGTGAGTGCCGTGGCATCAGCCTAGCTCACAGCAACCTCAAACTCCTGGGCTCAGGCAATCCTGCTGCCTCAGCCTCCCAAGTAGCTGGGACTACAGGCATGCACCACCATGCCCGGCTAATTTTTTCTCTATATATTAGTTGGCCAATTAATTTCTTTCTATTTTTATATAGTAGAGACGGTGTCTCGCTCTTGCTCAGGCTGGTTTCGAACTCCTGACCTCGAGCAATCCGCCTGCCTCGGCCTCCCAGGGTGCTAGGATTACAGGCGTGAGCCACCACGCCCGGCCTAGTTTTCATTTTTTGATACTATCAAGTACATAGTAGTTAGATTTTTGCAAAATAGTTTACATTTTTAAGTATATCTAATTGAAGTTTCTTGAATGCAGCCTTATTTAATTACAGCTAAATTAATGTGGCCTTCTAACATGAAAAGGTTCCCCACCCCTGGACATAGGATTGACTCCAACTCCAACAAGGACAAGTGGGGATTTATAGCCAAGGAGCAGGGTGGAGGGTCAGTGGATGGGAAATGACTAAGAGAAAACATCAGAGGTAGGGGGAGTCTGGCTAAACTGACTTGACAGGATTTTTCCTAAAACTGACTAAACAGGCAGAGCCATGGGACTAAAGACAGAAGCCAAGTTCAGGGCCACTAGTTAGAAAGAAGACTCAGAGGAGCCTGACTCAAGTTTGGTCAAAGGAGAGAGTCTTTGTCAGAAAGCACAAGCAATAAAGACAACACAGTAGTAAAATTAATGTATGATGAAGGAGAATTTGTGTGCATTGCTTGGCAGGAATCTGTTTTAACCATGGTGAGTTTATTACATGAATTGGATCATTTTCGTCATGCCCAACTAAATCAGAGTTCAGGAGCCGTGAGGAAAAAGCACTTGGGGCACATAGCACTTGCTCCAAGAATTGAATTGTCGCAAGGCCAGTGGCTGAAATGGCCAGCTATAACTCTAAGACCAGTTTTACCTAGTAACTGCTGAAATAACCTACAATGACTTTGAGGCTAGTTTTACCTACTGCCAGAACTCACCAATCAGAGTTTGCTAGCTCCCCAAAGTTTCTCTAGTGCCAATGAGTATCCTTTCAAAACACATGTACGTAACATTTCTCTAATAAAGCTCCCAACGTAATCTTTGTTCTTTGGACATACTGAAGAACACACTGCTTTGTGTGTATGCCCTGAACTGCAATTCTGTGATTCCCAAATAAAACATTTAATTTAGATATTTGTCTCTATATTTTTTATTTTGACTTTGACACCATTCACCATTAGTATGATATGTTTAAAGGTTTCCCCCCAAGATGAGTATTATACTGAATTTTAAAATTCATTCTATGGTGGCTCACGCCTGTAATCCTAGCACTCTGGGAGGCCGAGGCGGGCGGATTGCTCTAGGTCAGAAGTTCGAAACCAGCCTGAGCAAGAGCAAGCAAAACCCCGTCTCTACTATAAATAGAAAGAAATTAATTGGCCAACTAATATATATATAGAAAAATTAGCCGGGCATGGTGGCACATGCCTGTAGTCCCAGCTACTCGGGAGGCTGAGGCAGGAGGATCGCTTGAGCCCAGGAGTTTGAGGTTGCTGTGAGCTAGGCTGACGCCATGGCACTCACTCTAGCCTGGGCAATAAAGCGAGACTCTGTCTCAAAGAAAAAAAAATTCATTCTATTGGAACTCTGATAATTGCTTTGCTTTGCATCTTACTATGGACTTGTTGGATATTTAGGCAGCTGTAAACTACCCAGAGAAATAGCGATGGAGATAACGAGGAAGTTGTAGTGTTACTGTAAAAGAGTAACAGAAGGTGAAAATTGTAAGGGTAAATAAACACAAAGTTGAATTTTTCCTGTTGCCAAAAGGGAAAGAGAATTTTCCCCACTTCGCTTTTCTTAGGGCATTTCCTTGAGAAAACTTGTATTTGTAAATCCTTCCTTTGATATGTAAGCTTCTTGGTAGCCTATAACCCAGGAATGTCTTTCATAAAGGCCTTGGAGCCAGCTCTTTGAAATGTGAACATCAAGGAAGCTAGTGCCCCTGTTTCCCTGTCACCATAGGAGTCTGGCCTAGGTGCCTTGCTCCAAGCTATAAGTACCCGCTTGTCACACAGATATGAGTTTTATTTTTTCCTTCAGATAAAGGCAATTAACTAGCACAGATGGCTACTTCAGTTACCAGGTGAATTTAGGACTTGCCTGGGAGTAGTTTTCACCTTTGGCTGCTGCTGTTCAGTCAGGCCAATGAGCTGCATACCTGGACTTTCTGGTTCCTTCCACCACTTTTGGAATGTATGAAACACTACACCTCAAAGTGTGCGATCTGGTTTCCCAGACAGCTGCCAGAGGGGCAGATGATGCAATCTAGAGTGTGGAAGAATTAATGCCTTTGGGGTAAACTTTGACCAAAAAGAAAAGGAACCAGGAGTGAGATACAGACACATAAATTCCCTCTCCTTCCTCCTTCCCATGCACTGTTCTAAGCAGTTTCTTGAGGATGTTTTTGCAGAAAAAGGCAGTTTGGGTGATTTTTGTAGCAAACTGCTCAGCTCAATATACCTCTATATACTTCCCTCCCCTCCATCAGTCTCCCCTGTGAAATTTTCCATAAATTATCCTTTTATAACTATTGCCTTGTGAAGTGAATTTTCTCTTAGAGAATAAAACAGATTGAGTCCTGCACCAAAATGCAGGGGAAGCTGCACACAGCCAGGTTACAAAATATTATATTAATCTATAATAATAATAGGTTTTCTATATGCCAACAGTAACCATTTATAAAACAAAATGGCAAAAAAATCACACTTACATAGTGACAAAAATAAGTAAAATAAAAATAGACAAATGGAGCAAGAGAGCAGATATAGCCCATGTCCCACCCAACAGCCCATTGAACTGGGAAGGAAAATGTTTTCAAGGATAAATTCTTAACAGCACAGGAAAACAAGAAAAGGTATTAGTAGGCCACCAGAAGTACTGAGGCACTCCCCGTAGATAGAAAGTAGGTGGGATCAGACTGATATAGAAATCCAAGGAAACAAGATCGCAGCTTAAATCACTGCAGGCAAGTGCTCCTTTGTGTAACAAAGCCTCTGAAACACTTCAAAGCCAGACTCAAAAAAATGCAGAGATAAGAGCAGGCATGGGTCTTAGGATAATCATCAGGAAAATTAATCGTTCATTTGTAGCACCTGAATCAGCCAGATTCCCCTCCAACACCACATACAGATTGGCTAGCAGCAGCCACTTTTGCCTCTAAGATGAAACTCCAAGAATTATTCATTAAGGAAACTGAACAATTTGGTTATACCTTCTCTATAATACACATGAATATTAAAAATATGACCATGTATTAGGCCATAAATCCAATCTTGATAAACTGCCCCTCTCCCTGGTAGTAAAATGACAAGTGAATACAATACAATAAAACTAAAACAACATTATCTACTAGGAACGTTTAAAAAACACCCTTAAAGACTACTCAAAAATGAATAGGCAAACAAGTTTGAGCAAACTTGTCTACCTTCCCACCAATCCACTGAAGTGACAGAAAACATTTCATAAAACACTCGAACAAGAAAGGCTGCCATCTGGGGACCAGAAATTTTAAAAATTCCTGAAAAATAGAAAACAGCTTAGATGACATTATAAGGGTGAAGGGAACCACAAGCCAAAAGAAGCAGGAGAAAACAATTAAGAAGGTAAGAGCGTATTCAGCGAAACTCCAAGCGTAGGCAAATGGATAGAAAGAGCAAGAACTGGCAGGGTGCAGTGGCTCATGCCTGTAATCCCAGCACTTTGGGAGGTTAGGGTGGAAGGATCTCTTGAGCTCAGGAGTTCAAGAACAGCCTGGGCAATAGCAAGACCCCATCTCTACAAAAATTTTTTTCAAAAAATTAGCCGGGCGTGATGGGCTTCCTTGGGGTCGCTCATCTCTTCATATGCTACTAGATTCTTTCTTTCTCACAGCCAATGGGTCCAGACATTTTTATCCCTCTGTAGTCGCAGCTACTGGAGAGGCTGAGGAAGGAGGATCACTTGAGCCCAGGAATTGGAGGCTGCAGTGAGCTCAGCCCACCCCAGCCCCCAAGGCCTCGGTTGGGAGGCCTTTGGCAGCCAGTCTCATGTCTCTGTGCAGTGGACTTTTCCATCTGTTGCTTCCCTACATCAAGACTAAGTGGATTCTTCTATTCCTGTCCACCACATGGCCTATAGTGGACCCTCCTTCCTGATTCCTCCACGTTTCCCAGCGGACACTTTCATCTGTCTCCTCTGACACACTCAAGTAGACTGTCCCAGCCCCTGAACCTGAAGATTGTTCAGAGAGCCAAAGGCCAGTACAACCAACCACCTGCTACAGAATCCCACTCCAGGACTGGGGTGGATGGTGTCTATCAAGATAAAAACTGAAAACATCCTCCGTTAGAATCCCAACTCCATGTGGGCAGGGGTATTGTCTGCCTTGCTCCCTGATGTCTCTCCAGCACCTAGAACAGCGCTTGGCACAGAAAACATATTCATTAGGTGTTTGTTGTATAGATGACTCCTTTGACACAGCAATTCCACCACTAGGAATCTGTCCTAAAGAAACACCCACATATGTGCACAGAGCTGTGTGTGCAAGCATGACAGAGAGTAAACAACTGGGAAGAGTTTGTAAATATTTATTGTCAGTGACTGATGTAGGGTAAACAATAGGGGCTATCAGCAAGGAGCACTCACTGAACAGGAAACAGTGTTTGTATGTGTGTGTAAATGCAAAGAAAAAAGTCTGGAATTAAACACAGACCTTTCCTCAGTAGTTCTATCTAGGGAGAGAGGAGGGTAGTGTTTTCTGCATGGAGAATTTTTGATACTGCTTGCTTTCTAAGATAGGTGCATGGATACACAGACAGAAAAATTCATTAGGTAAGTCTTGCTCATCAATGAAATACTAATATCTAACAGAATGCTTGGCATATAGTAAGAAAAACAATGCTAAACTTTTCACTGTTGTGAACTCTTCCTTTCACTTCCTATACTTCTGATGGCCAGGAGTTCACAGCCATGCCTGTGTTAGTGAAAGGTCACCAGGCTCTGCTTCTCATCACGGGCATGTGTCACATCCCTGAGGCTGAGGCAAGGAAAGAAGGAAAATAAGTAGCAGTGAGTTCCTACCGCCTGATAACTCAATCCCCAATTCCTCCTGACCTGCAGACCTCACACACTCTGATTCTGCCTTACCTCAGGACCTGCACACACCTCCCAGTGTTCCTCAAAGTGAACTTTCTGCTCATGCCACAGTGACTCCCCCACCTGGTTTATGAACTCCTAGGCTATAGAAAGGTGTGGCTGTACATCAGGGCTGACCTGGGGTTTGGAAACCCACAGCATCCTGTGTAGGGAAGATCCCTGGATATACAGGGCAGGGAATAGGAAGAGCACTGCGAATTTCATCATTTAGCCTCAATGTTGCACCCCAAGGGATTAGGAGAAGGGAATGATTTGGGGAACAAGTGACAAGATGGTATACCAGTACCAATAACAGAACAGCACATTTGCTGGGCTGTGGGGGCTGAGCTGAAGGGTCACTTACAGAGTCAGTCGTCGCAGTCGTCTTCTTCTTCTTCTTCTTCTTCTTCTTCTTCTTCTTCTTCTTCTTCTTCTTCTTCTTCTTCTTCTTCTTCTTCTTCTTCAGGGTCGCTGATCTCTTCATATGCTACTTGATTCTTTCTTTCCCGCAGCCGGTGGGTCCAGGCATTTTTACCCTTCTTCTTGTGTCCTATGATGGAGAAAAGTTGTAAAATGAGGTTTGGGTGGGTTGGGAAGTGTGAGGCCCTATTTTGTCAGAAAAAGAGACGCCTCCTCTCTCCCAAGTGCCCACAGGCCTTTTACATCCTCTGTTTTCACATCTTCTGGCTCAGAGAAGCTGAGGTATTAGACCTGCACCAATACAGACCAAATGCCAGTTAAAGTTTTAGCTTCTGGCTCTTTCCACTGTCAGGTTTAGATTCCTAATCTCTTCACTTACCAGAACATTTACTCATGCCTTATTTCATTCAGTGTATATTTATTAAGAGCATACGGGCATACCGTTTTATTGAACTTCTCTTTATTATGCTCCATAGATACTGTTTTTTTGTTTGTTTGGTTGTTTTTTTACAAATTGAAGGTTTGTGGCAACCCTACATCAAGTCTATCAGTGCCATTTTTCCAATAGCATGTGCTCACTTTATGTCTCTGTGTCATATTTTAGTAATTCTCACAATATTTCTGACTTTTTCATTATTATTATATTTGCTATGGTGATCTGTGATCTTTTAAGTTACTATTGTAATTGTTTTGAGGTACCAGGAACTGCACCCATAGAAGACAGCAAACTTAATTGATCAATGTTGTGTGTGTTCTGACTGCTCCAGTGATGGGCCGTTCCCCGTCTCTCTCACTCTCCTTGGGCCTCCCTATTCCCTGAGACACAACAATATTGAAATTAGGCCAATTAATAACCCTACAATGGCTTCTAAGTGTTCACGGAAAGGAAAGGTCACATGTCTCTCAAATTAAATTAAAAGCTGGAAATGATTAAGCTTACTGAGGAGGGCATGTAGGAAACTGAGATAGGCCAAAAGCTAGGTGACTTGCACCAGTTAGCCAAATTGTGAATGCAAAGGAAAAGTTTTTGAAGGAAGTTAAGTGCTGCTCCAGTAAACACATGCTTGATAAGAAAGCAAAACAGAATTATTGCTGATAGGGAGAAAGTTTGAGAGGTCTGGATAGAAGATTAAACCAGCCACACCAGTCCCTTAAGCCAAAGCCTAACCCAGAGCAAGGTCCTAACTCTCTTCAATTATATGAAGGCTGAGAGAGGTGAGGAAGTTGTAGAAGAAAAGTTGGAAGCTAGGAGAGATTTGTTCATGAGGTTTAAGGAAAGAAGCCATCACCATAAAAGAAAAGTGCAAGGTGAGACAGCAAGTGCTGATATAGAAGCTGTAGCAAGTTATCCAGAACCTCTAGCTAAGATAATTGAAGAAAACAACAGATTTTCAATGTAGACAAAAAGCCTTATATATTAGAAGAAGATGCCATTTAGGACTTTCATTGCTAGAAAGGAGGAATCAATGCCTGGCTTCAAAGCTTCAAAGGACAGGGTGACTCACTTGTTAGGGGCTAATGTAGCTGGTGACTAAGTTGAAGCCAATGCTCATATACCATTCTAAAAATCCTAGGGCCCTTAAGAATTATGCTAAATCTATACTGCCTGTGCTCTATAAATGAAATAACAAAGGCTGGGTGACAGCACATCTGTATACAGCATGGTTTACCGAATCTTTTAAGCCCACTGTTGAGAACTACTGCTCAGGAAAAAAGATTCTTTCAAAATACTACTGCTCATTGACAATGCATGTGGTCACCTAAGAGCTCTGATGGAGATGTACAAGCAGATTAATGTTGTCTTCATGCCTGCTAACACAATATCCATTCTTCAGTCCACGGATGATGGAGTAATTTCAAATTTCAAGTCTTATTATTTAAGAAATACATTTCAGAAGGCTATAGCGGCCACAGATATGATTCCTCTGATGGATCTGGGCAAAGTAAATTGAAAAACTCCTGGAAAGGATTCATCATTATAGATGCCATTAATAACATTCATGATTCATGGGAGGAGGTCAAAATATCAACATTAACAGGAGTTTAGAAGAAATTAATTCCAAATCTCATGGATGACTTCGAGGGATTCAAGACTGCAGTGGAGGAAGTCACTGCAGATGTGGTGGAAATATCAAGAGAACTAGAATTAAAAGCGGAACCTGAAAATATGACTGAATTGCTCATGATCAAACTTGAACAGATGAGGAGTTGCTTCTTATGGATGAACGAAGAAAGTGGTTTCTTCAGATGCAATCTACTCCTGAAGATGCTGTGAACATTGTTGAAATGACAACAAAGGAGTTAGAACATTACATAAACTTAGTTGATAAAGCAGTGGTAGGTTTTGAGACAACTAACTAATTTTGAAAGAAGTTCTGTGGATAAAATGCTATCAAACAGCATTGCATACTATACTACAGAGAAATCTTTCAAGAAAGGAAGAGTTAATCGATGCAGCAACATTGTTGCAATTTCATTCAAAGCAACTTCATTGTTGTCTTATTTTAAGAAATTGTCACAGCCATCCCAACCTTCAGCAACCACCAACCTGATTAGTCAGCAGCCATCAACATTGAGGCAAGACTCTCTATCGGCAAAAAGATCATGACTTGCTGAAGGCTCAGATGATTTTTAGTAAAGTATTTTTAAATTCAGATATGTACTTTTTTAGACATAATGCTATTGTGCACATAATAGACTACAGAATAGTGTAAACACAACTTTCATATGCACCGGGAAACCAAAAAATGTGTGTGACTTGCTTTAATGCAGTGGTCTGGAACTGAACCCACAATACTCTGAGGTATGCCTGTACTGAGTGTCAGGCATTGATTGAACTGAGTAAGGTATGTTCCCAGGTTATTACAGATGGAATTATTTGAATACCTTTCCCATCATCAGGCCTTCTAGATTTAATTTAATGTCTCCAGGCCAGGCATGATGGCTCAGACCTGTAATCCCAGCACTTTGGGAGGCCAAGGCGGGAGGATGACTTGAGGCCAGGAGTTTAAGACCAGCTTGAGGCCTGGCGTGGTGGCTCACGCCTGTAATCCTAGCACTCTGGGAGGCAGAGGTGGGCGGATTGTTTGAGCTCAGGAGTTTGAGACTAGCCTGAACAAAAGCAAGACCCCCGTCTCTACTAAAAAATAGAAAGAAATTAGCTGGACAGCTTAAAAATATAGAAAAAACTAGCCGAGCATGGTGGCACATGCCTGTAGTCCCAGCTACTTGGGAGGCTGAGGCTGGAGGATCGCCTGAGTCCAGGAGTTTGAGGTTGCTGTGAACCAGGCTGATGCCACGGCACTCTAGCCCAGGGAACAGAGTGAGACTCCGTCTCAAAAAAAAAAAACAAAAAAAACCCCAGCTTGAGCAACATTATGAGACTGCTGTCTCTACAAACAAACAAAAAACCTTTAATGCCTCCAAACAATTTATGAACTACGATTCTTTATTTTCATTTTATGGACTAGGAAACTGGAGCTCAGAGAATTTAGAAGACTTGCCCAAAGTCACATGGCTTTTATATGGATGACAATTCAAGTCTGTGGTTCTGGAAGTCACGTTTTAACATCTCAGCTGGTGCTGGGTGAGTTCTTCAGCCCAGCCTGCACCCAGGCCCATTCAAGGTCCATGCTACACACCTATACCACACACACAAACATAGGAAGGAAAGCCAGAGGGTTTGTTCCTTAGTTATCTCCTCTTACCTGTCTTCTTAGTCTGCTTCCTAGAGGTACTTGCTTTTCCAGTGGGGCACAGCTGTCTCTGAGCCCGTTCCGAGCCACGTGTTCTTGACACTCCCTTCAAATCATTTCCTTTCTTTGTTGGCTTCTTAGGCATCACTTTCTTAATGTGAAGGTCACATATAAACAATGTCAATGGCATTTCTCTGATGCTTTAGAGTTTACAAAGAGTATTTTCACATGCATTACCTTAACCAATATTCTCAACAACTTTGGGAGATCATTACATTATCTGTACCTAAATTATGAGGAACAGGGGGGTTAGAAGCGAAAGGAATGGCCTAAATGAGCAGTGAAGGACTAGTTTCCAGGATTAGAATGCTTGACTTCATGCTCTTTTCAGACTGTCATTTTTGCAAAAAGCAAAAATCTCCATGTAACTGAGAGTGTGGTATACAGAAGATCTGGGGGAAGAATAGCATTTTAATAATCCACAAGGTCTGCAAAAACGGCTTCTATAAAATATAGGGGATCATGTCTAAGCTTGTAGGCAGCGACTGGGATGGTAAATATAAAAACATACACAGGGACAAAGCACTGCTGGACAAAATGATGTGGGGGAGATGAATATAGGAAAAGAAGAGGAAAGAAATGGTTCACAGAAATTAATCAATTAATCTAGGCAGCAAAAAAAGCGGTGCCAGATGTGGCACACCAACCTACCCTGGCAATGAATGTGGAATTAGACAAGGTGGTACCTGTACCAATTCTGTTGTGTCAGGATGTGTCACTGGCCAGCAATCTTAAGGTATTTTTCACTGAGCTTCCTCATTTATGAAATGGTGAACAATACATGTAAAACAGGCTAAGGGAAAATACTTTCTGAGCTTATAAATACTGTTTAAATGTGACAATAATAAAAATTAACACTTTTTCCCATGATTCTTCTTTGGATTTGCTCTATAATGGTCTCCATGCTGACTATCCGACTGTCAGATCCCTTTACCCTCTGAACTGCAGTCGTGGAATCACTCATTCAGTAAATATGCAGGCACCTCTGAAGGCTCCCTTGGGCTGGGACTGGGGCTTCAGAGATGCCCCAGGTGCAGACGAGGCCCTCAAGGAGCTCACAATAGTGAGGGGATGACAGTCAGAGGTATTCTCACACCATAGGAGTGGCCCCGAAGTAGAGCAGAGGCCAGCTGTCCTTTAGTCAGCATCTAATGGAAGCATCAGCTAGCCCTATAGGGTAAAGCCCTAATGGACAACGCCTGAACTTCATAAACAAATGAAAACATGAATGAGCTTTGAAATGGTTTGGGGCACTGCCACTGCAATGTCTCTGTACCACAATAGCCTCAACTTTACTACTATTATTATTTTACTTATAAATAACAATAATATCCTCATTATTTGGAGATAATTGGAAACTACATCATGGAAGTTTTCATAAGGATTAAAGAAATTAATCTGTGCAAACTGCTTAAAATACTATCTGGCATCACTTTGAAAACAAAAGAATTATTAGCTATCACAATTGTGTTAAGTACTATCAAGCCATTGATGCTACATCAGGTGTTGTGATAAAGACATGAGCAAAGGGAGGCAGTGAGGGCTAGGACATTTCTATATTCTCCCACTCTTACCAATGTTCACATCCGTGGAGGGACAAAGGTTCTCTGGTCCTTTAGATATTTGGGAGATACTCACCTTTGGGCATTTTCTCTGTTGCCCACGAGAAGCCCCCTGAGGAGGTTCATCTAAGAGAGGGTGATAAATCAGAATTTTTCTTTGTTGGTAAATATTTCCAAACCCTAGAGAGACTCCTGTAGCATCATGGAATTCAGAAGTAGAGTTACTAGTTTAGTCATCGTTGAGGAGTTATTTGAGATTAGCTTTTGAATTATCTTTAGTAATGGTTTATGCACTTATTGGAAGCATTAATTCAGAATTTTCCTTCTGATGGCTTATAAAATGTGGTCTTAACCCTGTCACAGTCTCATCCTATTTCATTACATATCTCTCACTTATTTCCCAAAGAAGTAAATTGGTTGTTTGGGAATTTGAACTGTATCCACTTAAAGATGTCTGACAACTAAAAATCAATTTACATTTAAAATGGACGAGTCACTGGGTGCAGTAGCTCATGCCTGTAGTCCTAGCTACTCGGGAAGCTGAGACAGGAGGATCATTTGAGGCCAGGAGTTCGAGGCAGCAGTGAGCTCTGATTGTGCCACTACACTCTAACCTGGGCAACGGAGTAAGAAAAAAAAAATGGTGAATCTTACAGTATGACAATTATACCTCAAGCTGTTAAATGTGGGATGAACCATGGATGATTTTAGTCCAGTGGTTCTGAAACGTTTCCAGTATAAAGACACTCCTTTAATGTCAAACAATTTGTGGATACTCAAGCACTAAATTTTCAGACCTCTTACAGTGATCATAGGAGCTTGTAGAATCTGGCTGGTTTAGTTTCAGAGTCATAGGTGTATTGGATATTCTGACCCTGTCATCTTACAACTGTGCTGTCAGAGCAGAAAAGCAAGTAAACACATCCCAACCCCTTTATAAGGATTGTGTGTATTACTCAAATGTACAAAGAACTATACCCTAGAATCTGTCCCTTTTTCATCCTATGTTGTCTCTGCTCATTAGTAAGTGGGAGTGCTCAGCATGTGTGGTCGGGGGAGGCTGTTCTCTCAAACTCTCTTCCAATCTCAACAGATAGAATCACGTTTGATTGGGAGTAAAAAGATTATTTGGTTTTGATCAAATAGAGGGAAACAGGCCGGGCGCGGTGGCTCACGCCTGTAATCCTAGCACTCTGGGAGGCCGAGGCGGGAGGATTGCTCGAGGTCAGGAGTTTGAAACCAGCCTGAGCAAGAGTGAGACCCATCTCTACTATAAATAGAAAGAAATTAATTGGCCAACTAATATATATAGAAAAAATCAGCCAGGCATGGTGGTGTATGCCTGTAGTCCCAGCTACCTGGGAGGCTGAGGCAGCAGGATTGCTTGAGCCCAGGAGTTTGAGGTTGCTGTGAGCTAGGCTGACACCACGGCACTCACTCTAGTCTGGGCCACAAAGTGAGACTGTCCAAAAAAAAAAAAAAAAAAAGAGGGAAATAGCTATCTTCATTACATAAGGTGTTAATCACTTTCTCTCTTAAGATATTTATCCAATACCTATGCACTATCAGGAAATTGACTCTGCAAGTTTTGGGAAGATTTACACTTTAATTAGAATTTTCTCAATTACCCTTTGATTCATTAACAGTGTTTAGCAAGAACATATCCTTTAAAAAAAGGAAATATTCCAAACATACAGAAAATTATGGGGAATAACATTGAGTCCAGTCTCAATATTATCCAAAATGACTTCAGATCTCTTTGATTTCTTTATTCAAAATATTAGAAACACTATAAACAAGTCCCTGCTGAAGCTGTCTGTGCAGCCCTCACCAATCTCTGCTCTCCTTTCTTCTCCACTTATAGCCACTCTCCTGAATTTGATGGCTTTAATCCCATGCAGGTTTTTATACATTTACCATTTACTTACTATCCATAAGAATATATATTCTTATTTTGCATGTTTTGAAATTTTATATGAGTGGCCTCTGTAGTTAACCTTCTGCATCCAACTTTTTTACACTGAGCCTTGGCGTTTATGAGGGAGCAAACGCCTGAGAATCTTTCCCAGGCAGCTGGACTGAAAAGCAGCTGGGCTTGAGGTGACCCTTTCCTGCCCCTTCCCGTCCACTCACTCTGATTCCTGCGGCTCTGACGTTGACCTGCAGAACCCTGCGCCTGGGATTTTATGGCCCGTCTTTTAGAACTCATGAAAGCTGGGAGGTTGGTCTTGAGCCCTAGAAAGAAGTAAAATATTTGTTCTTTAAGAGATAAGCTGAGTGGAGGAATGGGGGGTGGGGTGCTGGGATGCCACACAGATGGCAGGGCTCATCAGAACACAGGCCCACAGGAGAGAAACATCCAGCATCCAGATCTGTGGCCTGTCGCTGTCCTCAGCCCTGCACTGGATATTGAAGAGCAGAATGCCCAGAAACTGCCTTGGGATTTTCCCCCTGCACAAAAGGAAAGTGCGAGGCATTTGCTGCAGCCTAAGAAGTAGTCAGAGCATTTAAAGGGACGCTCATATGTACCCAGGGCTTTCTGTTACCTAGACGAGTCATGGTGTCATAGTTTTTCTTCATATACACATAGCTTGTCTTCTGTGAGTATCCCAGCCTTGACCACTCTTCCTTAGAGAAGTATTTGGAAATATCCTTGAAGGTCTAGAAAAGAAAGAAAAATAAATTCTGGCAGTGACTCAGCTAGACGTGTCTGTTGGGGCTGCTTCCTCTGAGCTGGATCTGGGAACTGGGGACAATAATCCCACCTGGGTGATATCATGGCTGAGAGAACATGGGTGACATTCCCTAGCCTCTCCCCTGACATGCAGTAGGTGCTTAATCCTGCTAGTTTCCTCTCCTCCCACCTTCTAGAATGGAGGGAGAGTCACCAAAAGTAGTGCAAGGTCACAGATCTGTTGTCTTCAGGGATGCCAGGTGAAGACAGAGTGAGAATGTCAAGCTCCCAAGGCTTCAGATCTCCCCCGAGACCCTGCCCCTTGTCCCCAGTACCTAGTCCCCACATCCTCAGAAATCTGGACACTGCCCACTGTCCTCTGGGTCACTACTCTGTCCCCTCCAGATCAACTCACCTTGCATTTCTCTGATATCTGAGCATCCCCTCCGGAGCTCTTTGCAAAGGAACGGCCTCTATCCATGGCACTGGGAGCACTCCGATCTACAAGAGACACACCTTGAGTCTGCCCAGCTACAAGACCAAAGGTCCTATGGAGGGAGAAATGACTGAGGGATGCCCAGTCACCTGGAATTAGGTACTACATATCTCCATCCTGAACTTATCTATCTCTGAATAAGGACATGGGAGGGAGCCAGGGGTCTCTGGGAGAAGTATTATTGATTAGGGATGACAGATTTTCTATGGCATGAGCAAAGCATCCTTGAGTCTTTAAGAGGGGTTCAGTTACTGTTGTTATTAGTACCCCTGGAGCTTGGCTTATCCCGAAGGAAAGATATAAAGACCCTTGCTGGGGAAGCAGTGTGTAATTTTATTGAGTGGGGACTGTTCTGAGATAAAAGGGAAGAGGTGAATGCTAATGATCATATGGTCTCTCTAATTGATGAGTTTGTGTCATCAGGCAGAGGGATGCGGGACTCGGTTCTGCTAAGAGAAATGGGTATGGCTAATGAGTGGATTTAGAGGCTATTATGAGTTATCTGTAAATTACTAGAGTGAAGACAGCTTGAATCTCTGAGACTACAGGACCAGACATCACTCAGACAGAGAGAATGTGGCATTTTAAAAAACAGCAATCTGGTGCTCCCCAAACTGAAGGCATTGGAAATCTCTTTAGGAGAGGACATTTAGGAATCTCTGGGACCAAGAAGATTGCTGCTTTGCCCCAGAGGCAATATATAGTCCCTTAGGCAGAGGCTATTTGCCGTTATCTCTGGTTAAGGAAATTTAGGGGCATTTGGCTGACCTGAGGGTTTCTCAGGCTAAGGCAAATTTTGCTTCCCTCAGGAATAGCAGTTAGGGAGTCTCACAGACCAGTTTGTTTTATCTCCGCTCAACTGGTATCGCCCTGAAAGGCTTTAGTTGTTGCTCAGTCCTAAGGATCTTGAGGATCTAGGGAGGTACAGCAAAAGCCCAACTCAAATACTTGAGTGCTCTACAGAGGCCCCCAACTTTTCTATCTGCCGTCCTTAATACATTCAGGGTGTCCCTCAGAGATAACTTACCTCAGAGGTGAAGCGGCAGCGAAGAGTCCTTCCACAAGATGAAGTTTGCATTTCAACTGCCAAAGGAGGCTGGACCAATCAGGGAAGTTAGTGAACTTGATCTAGCCAATCCGAAGTCAGGAAAGTGGGCGGGACAAGTGAAGCAAATATGGGGTCTACTCAGTCCAGGCTCCAGGGACAGGACGTTCTCAAAGGGGGTGGAGACTGATTTTCTCACCAGAGGCAAGTTGCCCTCCTCTGGGATTGGCTACTCCTGGTTGAGCCTGTTTATGTGCCTGTCAGTACACATGCTCAGATTTTCCCTTTCCATTCATCCTACCCTCTGCTGCACATTTGTTGTTTAGTTTTTATAAATGGTGTCTGTGTGGCCGGTTGCCATCTCAAATCTTTCCCATCAGATATGGGCTCTTTCCTATGAACTCGGTAGTAACTTAAGAACTTTAAACTTTAAAAAAAACCACTTTATATCTGCTTTTTCAGGAAGACCCAAGAAGGAGAAACACATCTTATTCCTTGATACTAATAATATTTATAACAATAGTATTAAAAGGAGTATATAATTAGGGCTTCTGTGTCCCTCAGGAGGCTCACGAGTTGATTCCTCTAGAAAGTCTCCCCTATGCCCATCCCCAGTGCTTCCAATGGATCCCCATTCCCCCTTGGGCTTTCCATCTACAGCTCTGATCCTCCCAGAATGACAGAGAGCTCTCTTAGGGCAGGGACAGGGCAATGGCCCTTTCACCCAGCACAAAGCCCTTTATGTGCATATTCCCATTTAATTTTCACAACTTTCTCTTGAGTTAAGTACTATTATCATCCTCATTGTGCAGATGTTGAGACCAAGGCTCAGAGAATTAAGCAACCTGCTCAAGGTCACACTTAGTGGGTGACAGACCTGGGATTCACCTCCAAGATGAATTGAATCCAAAGTCTGTGCTTTTAATTACTCTTCTATACTGACTCAACTATTTGTTGGTTGGTTGAATGAATGAATGTGTCTTAAAACTATGAAGGATCTTTAACATAAATTTACATAACTCCCTACAATCACCCCCAATTTCCTCTGGCTACGGTGAAAAATTACCATAAACTTTGTGGCATAAACAACAGAAATTTATTCTCTCACAATTATGGAGGCTATAAATCTAAAATCAGTTTCACAGGGCTGAAATCAAGGTAATCAAGGTATAAGCAGGACTGTGTTCCTCTGGAGGCTCTAGGAGAGAATCTGTTCCTTGCCTCTTCTAGCTTCTGGTGACTGTCAGCATGCCTAGGCTTGTGGCTGCATCACTGCAGTCTCTGTCTCCATGGTTCCTGTCTTAGTCTGCTTTCTGCTACTATAACAGAATACCATAGTCTGGGTAATTTATAAAGAGCAGAAGTTTATTTGGCTCATGATTCTGGAGTTTTGGAGGCTGGGAAGTTCTGGGAGTTCTGGATGCCGGTGCCAAGAGCATGGCACCGGCATCTGGTGGGGGTCATCCCAGGGTGGAAGGGTGGAAAGCAGAGGTGAGCACACAAGAAGAGGAAATTGGGCCGAATTCCCCTTTATAACAAACCTAGTCTTATGATAACTAACCCACTCTCACAATAATGGCATTAATCACCTCCTAAAGGCCTCACCTCTCAACACTGTTACAATGGCAATTAAATTTCAACATGAATTTTGATGGGGAAATTTTGCCCCTGGCCCCCCAAACTCATGTCCTTGCACATACAAAATACATTAATTCCATGCCAAAAGCCGTAACTCATTCCAGCACCAACTCAAAAGTCCAAAGTCCATAGTCTCATCTAAATCAAGTACAGGTGAGACTCCAGATCTCATGGAGCATGATTTATCCCAAGGCAAATCCCTTTAGCTTCGAGCTTGTGAATGAAAACAAGTTATCTAATTTCAAAATACAATGATGGGACTGGCATAGGATAGACATTCCCTTTCCAAAAGGGAGAAATAAGCAAGAAAAAAAAAGAGTTACTGGTCCCAGGTAAGTCTAAAACCCAATAGGAGGAACATTAAATCTTAAGACTCCAGAATAATCTTTCACTGCATATGCTACCTCCTGAACACCCTGGGGGTGGGTACCCAAGGCCTTTGGTATCCTCACCTGCATGGCTTTGCTGGGCTCAGCCCATGCTTCAACAGCCTTCAGTGGAAGGCTGGCATTGCATGCTGTTACCTCTATAGTTCTGGGGTCTCAATGTCAGTCTTGCCTCCATAGCTCCACTAGGCATTGCCCTAGTGGGAACTCTCTATGGTGGCTCCTCTCTTGTGTCAAGTTTCTGTTTTGGCCTCCAGGAGTCCACAGAGTTCTTTGAAATCTAGGTGGAGGCTGCCATGGCCCCACAGCTCTTACATTCTGCAGGCCTGCAGACTTAACACCACATGGATGCTGCAGAGGCTTACCACTTATATCTTTTAGAGTGGCGGGTCAAGCTGCACATGGACCTGCTTGAGCCATGGGGTGGTTAGGAAGTGCTGTGCCAGAATGCAGGGAGCAGAGCCCTGAGGTGGCCCCAGGAAGTAAGCCCATAGACGGTGCCCTGGGCACATCCACCGAAAACATTCTGCCTTCCTAGAGAGCTCTAGGACTGTAATGGGAGAGGCAGCCTGGAAGATCTTTGAAATACCCATTGTTTTTATGAATAGCATGTGGCTCCCTCTATCCATGCTAATTTGTTTAGCAAATGGTCACTTGGCAACACCCTTAGTATTCTCTCCCAGACATGCTCTTTCACTCTTTACATGGACAGGCTGTGAATTTTCCAAATCCTTCTACTCTGCTTCCCTTTTCATAATAAATTCTGTCTTTAAGTATTTCTTTGCACTTGCATCTCACTTTATGCAGTTAAAAGTAACCATGCAGCAGCCTGAATGCTTTGCTGCTTAGATATTTATCCTACTAAACATTCTAGTCCACCACTCTTAAATTTTGCATCCCATAAAGCCCTCAGGCATGGACACAATTCAACCAGTCTTTGCTACTTTATATAAATAACAAGGATGGCCTTTACTTCAGTTTCCAATACCTTGTTCCTCATTTCCATCTGAAACCTCATCAGAATGGCCTTTACCATCCATATTTCTACTAACATTCCACTCGCAACTACTTAGGTAATGTCTGAGAAGATTTAGGCTCTCCTTAGTTCTGGGATCTTCTTCTAAGCTCTAACCAGAATCACCCTTAATGCAAAACAGCCTTTTTCTAGCCTGCTTCTCCAAATTCATCCAGTTTTTACCCATTACCCAGTTCTAAAGCTGCTTCCACATTTTGAAGTATTTGTTATAATGTTAGGGACCGGCTTCCTGCACCCCGCCAGGCAGACGAACAAAGACACCAAGGATGCAATCACTCAAGAGGAGCTTTATTTTCTGGCTAGCCAGGGTCCAGGCCCTAGAGTGCCAGCGCAGTGGTCACTCTTACAGGCAAGGACCCTGACCAAAGCTGGGGCTGCCCTTTTATCCCCCCTCCCTCTTGAACACCCGCACTGCACAAGCTGATTGTGCGTGTTAGTCTTTAAAATGATTGGTGGACTGGTAGCTGGCGGCAAAGGGGCCTTTCTCCCTTATCTGGCACCGTACCTATGCGTCTAGCTGCAAGCAAGCGATTCTCAGAAGCAGAAATATGCGTTTAGCCTATAGCTCTACCTTTGGGCCTCAAGCTAGCAGTTTCCAGAAGCCGATTACTCCTCCCTTGGGCCAATTTTCTGTTATCCGGGCTCGCACAAGTGAGCCAGCAGCTTTGGGCTGCAACCAGGCCCTTACATTAATAACAACTCCATTTCTCAGTACCAGTTTTTTGTATTAGTCTGAGGGCAGAACCCTCATGACCTAATCACCCCTCAAAGGCCCCATCTCTCAACACTGTTACAATGGCAAGTAAATTTTAGCATGAGTTTTGGTGAGACATTCAAACCATAGTAGTCACATTGCCTTCTTTTCTTCTGTCTATGTCAAATATCCCCTGCCTTAATCTGATAAGGACACTTATAATTACATTTTGGCCAGCCCAGATAATCCAGATAATCTTCCCATCTCAAGATCTTTAACATAATCACTTTTTTGTTGCAAGGTAATGAAGCTGAGGGTAAACCTGACTAGGCTTGTCAAACTTCAACCTGCTTCGCTTGCTTTCAGATTTTTTTTTTCTTAAAGGCTCCCTTCAGCTTCCCTATAGATGACATTTCTGACATACAAGTCACAATAGTAATGATTGCCTGCAACTGCAAGGGGGTTTCCGGCCTAGGCCAAATTGCTTGTCACACAAAGATCTGATTATTGATGAGGATTGCCAAGGAAGAAAGGAATTTTTAGTACAAAAGAAGTCTTGTCGGAAGAATGGGAGAAGCTGCCTCAAATCTGTCTCCCCATCTCTTCTACTAAAAGAGATCTTGGGCTTTTAAGGGAGGGGCCATGTGCTTTGGGCAGGTCAGGGTGTAAACTAACAAGGGGCTAAGGGCATTTGGGGCAGATTGTGGGGGAAGGTAAATCTTGGCAACAGAGAGTTTGCCCAGGGGCCTTCAGAATCTCAGTTCCTTTGTCTTGCAGAAAACCCACCATCTCTAGGAAACAATTTAAGAGGTCAAGTAGTTAGTTAAAGGAGAAGACTATTAAAAAACATACAGGGGTCATTGAATTTGTTCAGAAAGCTGGTTACAATTTGTCCCTTTCCTCTCACATATTACTATTAGCAGCCAGAAGAAATCAGACCACACCCTTAACACTTTGCTTGTAAATCTCTTTAGATAAATATCCAAGTTCATCATTTACAATCTCTTCTTTTCACACAACTGTAGGACACAATTTAGCTAAGTTTTCTGCGGGTGTGTAACAAGAATTGCTTTTCTTCCAGTTTCTGACTTTCTGGGTTATGATTATATATGTATTTCTAAGGTGATATAGGCTTTCTCTCCCATGCTCCTCACTTCCTTCTGAGCCTTCACCAGAATTATCTTCAGTGTTCACATTTCTACCAAGAATCAGTTCAAGTAAATCTAGGCTCTTTCTATTTAGCTGTTCAACATTCTTCTGGCTTCTACCCA